TTTTTTATAAGAAATAGAATACAAATCCATTACCAAACATTTTTCTTTCAAATTGATAATCAAATTTCCCTATTTGGTACTTACTCTATTTCAATTGACTTAAATTTTTATTTAAAATTAATATTTAAAAAATAAATTAAAATAATTATAATTAAACAAAAAATATATATATAATTCTTTATTTACAATTTAAACTATATTGTACTACACAACAAAAACAATTAGATGGGAGAAGGACACCCAATATCAAGCGGCTCGCCCCTCATCCATTTAGCTGATTTAAAAAATAAATAAATAAATACCACCTCCATTTCATTTTACTTGTCACTTCAGGTAAAAGTAGTAGCCTACCATATATATATCACTACAAGAAAACCCAAAATCACCGACCCCAAATCACCGACGTAAAACTTGTTATCGGTAAATGAGCATTTTACCGACAAGAAACATATCTACAAATGTAGTAACAATAAAAATTACAGTAATTTATATTATTTAAGTTTTAGATTAAATCTTTATCGGTGATTTAATGATATACACATGTGCTCCTTGTCGGTAAAATTCTGAAAAAGTCAGTCTGGTGGCGTGAGGACCGGTAACTCATATACCGACGTGATCCTTGTCGATAAGTTCACAATTCAACCCCGCACAGTGAATTGGCTGCTCGCGTCAGTTTTTTCATAAATTCCAACAATATTCTCGTCAGTAATTTGCATTACACACCAACGTTGAGTTTGTCGGTGATGATCCTGGTCAATCAGATTCTTGAAGCAATGCAGAGTTGATTAGCTCTATGGGTTTCCAATGGGTTCTGAAGCAATGCAGAGTTGATTAGCTCTATGGGTTTCCAACAGGAACCCGTCGGTGAGCTTTACAGGTTTCCAACGAGAACCTGTCGGTGAGCTTTACGGGTTTCCAACGGGAACCCGTCGGTAAGCTTCCCCCTTGCCTACCGAGACCCCCCTTTCCCCTTTCATTTTCCTCTGTCGAGACCCCCCCACCCCTTTCATTTTCGTCTGCTGAGACCCCCCTTCCCCTTTCATTTTTGTCTGCCAAGACCCCTCATCCCCTTTCATTTTCGTCTGCATGCTGAGACCCCCCCGTTGAAACTGGTTAGTGAGTTTAGACGGGAATGCAAATTTTTTGTTTTCTTTGGATTCCCGCTTTTAGATTAATTAACTATGTGGGTTTTGTCGGTAAAATTATTTCCGATGTACCACACACAGGTCAACGGTGAATTTCGGCGGGAATGCAAATTTTTTACTTTTTTTGGATTCCCGCTTTTAGGTTAATTGCCTATGTGAGTTTTGTCAGTAAAATTATTTCCGACATATTACACATTGCTAAAATAGTCTATATATATCCAGAACACTCTAACCCGATCATTTCTTCATTCCTTCCTTCTTCTTCTTCTTCTTCTTCTTTTTTCTTCTCCTCCCTTATCTGTCCCATCTCTTACTCTTCCATTCAAATACTGCTAGATTAATTATATGATGTTTATAACTGCATTATATTCATATAATTTTAGGATTATATCTTCTTAATCTCCTTTCTTTTTCTCTTTCATTGTTTTTTTATATTTAATTAAACACTAATTTGTGTTATT